AAAATAAAAAAACAACACTACAGTGGAGAAAAACTCGGCAACTACCGTCTTAAGCAAGTGATCAAGGTCAACACAACCAATAATAAATTAGGTTGACACAAGGTATCCCCCACATTATGAGGTGAAGAGCACATTAGCACTTATGTGGTATTCTTGCCAAAGTTGTACAACTTCAATTTACTCATGATGAAATATTAGAAAAATTGAGGACCATCCTACAAAATAACTAGCACTCTGCGAATGAGAAACTGTCACAGACCAGAGAAGAGAATAAGGAGGCTTGGTGACTAGATACAATGTGGGATACTCAATTGGATCCTGCAACAGGAAAAGAACATTAGAGCGAAAGCTGTAGCCCCGTTAATAGGGTTGGACCCTGTTCTTTTCTTTGCTTTGACAATTGTGTCACGGATGTAAGATGTTAAGATTAGGGGAAGCTGGGAGAAACACATATTGGCAACTTTGTAAAGTCAAAATAATTTCAAAATTAAAAGTTAAAAAATATGTATTTCTGAAGGAGACAGGAGTTTGATGTTCCATAAACTACACATCATTTAAACAGTGCTAGAGAGTTGTACCTCCAATTCACAAACCTCAGGAAATGAGCATAATATTCAGAGTAAAATTTGCCTAAAGTTAACAATACACAGCCGTGAAGCTGCCATTATACCCAGGCTTTTCTTCAGCCTTTGTCCACTTCTTTCCTCCAAACACCTAACAGCGACCATCAACATTCCCTTTTCCTTCCTCACAGAGAAAAATGTGAGACAGCCCACAGATATTAGGCTATGGAGTCCCAATTCTTTCAAGCACCCACAAACTCAAAGGATTAGAGGAGGCAGGTGGCAGTTACTAATGCAACAAATCCTTTCTGAGTACTCATCTCTGCCAGGCATCAGGCTCTGGGGAAATGAGACCAACAAGTTTACAAGTTTACTGGGGTGGTCACCAGCAGAAAGCAAGACAATAAGCAAGGATGCAAACAAAATTACAATAAACAAAAATATAACACACACACACACACATTTAAACTCAAATGATGGTATGTACTATGAAACCAGAAAACCAGAGTAACCAGATGCAGGTTTCTCTGACAAACTGCTATTTGAGCCAGGACCTGACCCTTGTCTGATCCCGTTTCTCTAACTACAAAGTGGAGCTAACAATATTTACCCACATAGGACTGTTGTTAGGAATTAAATTATGCAATTACAGCCTAAAATACAGAGAAACTGCTAGTAAGTGAATGAAGCACAAGACATAGCAGAGTTTCTAGTAAGTAAATGAGTGGTTGGAAATAGCAACTGATGACAAAACTACTTCTCAACACAATTACATGGAAAGCACTAACTCTCTCAATTTACTTTAAATTTATTATCCTACTGAAATTTCCTCAAAGTGGCTGAGTAGACTGCTAATCACAGAAACAGCTATTTCCCCTCTGCTGGATAGCAACCGTGAAGAATGACTAGATTTGGAAAAGCACAGAGCAGGAAACATAAATGCTCAGCCCAGAGCTGGTGAGAGTAAAGGACAGCCCCCAGGCCCTGCTGGAGGGGACCTCTGTGCCAGATGTAAAACAGTTGGCTGAACCCAAGGAACATTGATAACCTTCTCATGAAGGACTTTCCTCTTGCATGTCTCTGTAACCAGAGACAGACAGAAGGCCAGCAAGTCAGCAAAATAAACCAGAGGTGCTCAGTCCTGAAGAGGAGCCCAGGGACTATAAGGCACTGTCACATCTTCCCCCAGGATGTAGATGTAATGGTGACACACTTTCACAGAAATATTTTTTTAAAAAAAGCTTTAGCTAGAGTGCATCCCAATTCCAGACCCAAAAAAGTAGCAAAATCTATTGAAATAATTTAGAAAACTAAATATGTAATGAGGATGTGTAAAATCAACTTCAGGCCAAAGTGCTATGTATCAAATAAGTAGAAATATTTTTTAATATATTTTCTGACAGAAACACACACACACACTTGATCTCTCTTGTGCAGTCTCCATGAATAAAAAAGCATAAGTTTGATATCAAATTATATTTACTAAGGTCTATGTCACTGAAGAGCATTTTTTAAACTATCAGTACTTATATAAGTGCAGTACACACATTAAAAACATTTAATTTTGTATATAAAAAAATCATTCTTTTTTCAAGAACACCTAAAAGAAAGGAAATAAACCTCTATGTGCTCCAATATGAAGCATTAGTGACACAATCCTCCCGAGGGACTCTCTCCTGAAGGTCACAGCTGTTCCACGCTGCACTCCAGAAGTCTCCTCTCTCTATTCACCATTTCCCTCACTTTCCCCAGAAGGCTTCTTATTCAAGCCCCTACCTACCTACCTACCTCTTCTCTTTTCCTGTTCCTGAAAACAGACACAGACAAACATACCTCTCCTTTCCCAGATTTGGCCTTCAAGGCCCAGGTGAGAGCTGGGGTCCATGCCAGGCCCTGCGTGTCATACAAGGGAATTTGGAAAGATTTTTACCAAAGGAGTCAAACTGCAGAGCTGAACAGGGATTCGTTCTTTCCTTCCTTTAATCCTTCCATTACTAAAAGGTCAATCAACAGGTGCCATGTCTATGGCCTCACCCCCAACCTCCTACACCCAAGACAATGTCTCACATCCCCTCAACTAAAACAGTTCCCTCCAGAGACAATCGCCTCAGCAATCACCTGAGAAGCCAGCAGGACTCAGGCCCTGACCTGTGCAGCCTGTGATGTTCTCCGTGTCCCTTGCTGGTAATGACACTCCACTCTCCTGCTTCTCCCTCCCGCTCTCCACTGCCTGGACCGCCACTCCTGCCTCCTCCAGTGTGGCTGTCAGGTGCAATGGTGGTTTTATATTTACATTTATTTTAGTAAATATATTTATAGTTATTTTAGTAAAATATATATGCCATTTTATTTTTTTTAATTTTTATTTGTAATTTATTTATACAAGCACTGGATATAGTCAGAAGCGCGGGAAGGTGAGAGAATTCACCAGAGCCAGAGCGGGGAACAGAACAGGAAGACTGACAAAATACACTGCTGAGGGGAGCAGCGGGCATGGCAGGAGAGGTCTATCACGCCATGTGGGACCCTCGCCAGCCGCCGGGGATCAAAACTGGCACTGCAGAGGCTGCGGGCAGCTTCGCAGCCCAGCGCTCAACCGCTGCGCCACCAGGGGAGATCCATATATGGCATTTTAATATAAGGTTATTACACACCTGGCAGTGTGCTGAATATTCTACACAGACACTTTCATCTAATCTCCTCAACAACATATGCCATATCATTTTACAGCAATGATTCTCAAACGTTGTGGCTTCAGGAGCCTTTCACAATATAGAAATCACTAAGGAGTCCAAAGTGCTCCATTAATGTTGATAAATCTATTGATAGTTACAGCATTAGAAATAAAAACTGAGAAATTTTTAAAACACACATACACAGCATACAAGAGCCTGCCCTCATCACACATCATGTGACTTCTGGAAAGCTACACTGTACCTGTGTGGGAGATAAGGGTAAAAAAAAATACGAAAAAAATCTCAGTATTACTGTAAAAACAGTTTTGACTTTGTGAACGTCACCCCACCCCCAAGCATCTCAATCATTCCCAACTGTTTTGGGCCATACTTTGAGAATTACTATTTATAAAAAAAGAAACTGAGAGTTTACTTAAAGAGTAAAATCAACTTGCCTAGCTCACTCCATCTGCCTACTGAACAGCACTCACCTTAACACAGGTTATACAGTTCTGCAGTGCTGCCCCCCTCCCTTACCCCTTCTTTCTTTACTGTGGTCCTCAGAGACAATGTTCATTTCCACCACATCGCTATCACCTTCCAGTCACTGATCCCCAAACACAGATCCACAGAAGTGATCCCTCACCTAAGTTCCGATGACCTGGATGCTTCCTCAGCACCCTGAGCCAACTCAACTGCCTCCATGCTCATCCACCCCAAGCAGCTCATCCCTGGCACCCCAACTTCAAAAAAGATAGTCATTCACTTAATAAGGGCCCCAAATCACTCAGTCACCTTTGACTCTTCTCCTCTCGGTGACATGACAACCATGCTTTAAAACCATCAGTAGTGTCCAGTTCCTAATATATTATTATTAGGCAATATTATTTTAAAAGCTACGTTATGCAGTCACCATCTCAGCCCTAAGAGGTGTGTCCTGAGAAGATGTGCATTTTACAGATGAAGAAACTGAAGCACAGAACAGTTAACCGCCAAGGTGGGAAGCCAGCAAGTGGTTCACTGGGGGTCAAGCCCAGTTCAGTTCTATTGTCCAATAGATGGTGACAAACATGTTCTGCATGTGTGCTGTTCAATATGTGGCCACTGAGTTTTTGAAATGTAACCAATGCAACTAAACTTTAAATTTAAAACTTACATAGCTGCGAACAGCTACCATACAGTCAGCACAAAATTTGAGAATAAACGTCCAAACTCCCAAATTTAACAAAGTCCTCACAACTCTACACCTATTACCTCTCAACTCTTCCTTATAAAAAGTTTGTTTGTCTAAAATCCCGGTGAATGTACTCATACACCTACCAGTCACCCCCAGTCCACCTCTCATCTAAGTCTTCTGTGTAGTGGAAGGCCTTTAAAAGTGACAAAAAGGTAGGACTGGGTTTAGATCTATACTCCACAGTGACCTGGCTATGCGACCCCAGGCAGGCTCTTCCAGCCTGTAGCCCTTGCTCCTTTTCTGTAGAAGGGAATAATACTGCCAACTTCCAAAGAGCATGAGTCAAGTCCTTTAACAGAAACTCTCTAAAAGGTCTCCAGGGCAATATACCCCTCAGGGCTCAATTCAAACTCCACCCTCTAATCTAAGAGACCAGCCTCTGAATCCCCCAGAGGCGCTACTCAACCAGCACACAGATCCTACAGTTATTTTTTTGTGTTGTCGCCCTGTCTTCTCTGCCACTGTCTAGTCATAATCCCTTGAGAGACCAATAGCTTTTGTCATCAGTGAGACCAGAGGCAACAAGCCACCTTACAAAGGACTCTGGAGGGAATTTTTACTATCTGAGGATGTTTCAGTTTCTCCAGGATGGGGATAAAAAGCTCTCAGTCAGCTGGTGGAAGGATGAAAGCCAGCAAGGTAAAGAAATGAGTAATACTTCCCAGTGGCAGCATCTCAGCAGATGCCCCCCGGCCTTAATAAAGGGACACCTGTTATCATTATCACGGGCACAAGAGATTAGCCACAAACAATTTCCCTAACACTCCCTACCTCTTAAAATGGGAAGACTTCAGTATACCTTAAAATTACTAGAGTCAAAACACCACTGATAACTTTTTTTCTTTTTAACCTAACAGACATGACACTAAATTGCATCTAAGAGCATAATCAGGAAGAGATGATCATAACAGTCAGAAAATGAAAGGAATCAGGTAAACTTGTTGGGGTTCAGTGTGTGGGGTCCTTAGGTGCTCTCTGAGAAAGGTTTCAGCAGTTTTCCATTTAGCAGCACAAGGCAAGTTTACTAAGCAAAATAACATTTGCATAGACACAAACTGGCAAAGGCTGCATTTTTAAAGGACAGATTTATTAGGAAAAAGAAAGGAAAAGAGAGGCACCTGCATAGATACAGGTGTGTCGACAACTGCATTTGCAGGGGAGAATTTTATTAAAAGAAACGCCTACATAGACACAGGAAGGCAGCCAGAGCGGGGGTATCTTTACATAGTGTTCTTGGCAGGGAGGGGGATTCCATTTCTTTGTGGAATTTTATCTATTGTGAAATCTATCACTTCTAAGGTCTGGCTGGGTTAATCTGTAAGGACTGGTGTTCTTTCTAAGGACTAACAATTCTCCACATTGCCAGTCTTTGCCAAAAGATTTTCCACAGCAGGTATAAGAACTCATTAATCATTTCTACCACGCCTCTAGTTTCTGGCTTTGTGAAGACTCCATCCCAAGTTTTCTACTTTAAGCTTCCATCACACTTTGTCATATCAGATGAGAGAGCATGTTATAAAGGTGCCATATGGCTGGTTGCCAGCACTTAGTAAATGTTTGAGTAAAACATTTTTAAATACTTGCTTCTGAATAAAGTTACAATCATGAATTGTAAACCTAATAGTAATAACAAAAACTAAGCTTTACAGAGCTCTCACCACCTACCAGGCACTTGGTAGAGAGCTTTATCCAAAACCATTCTCTCCTTTGAACTTCAGGGTAGTGAGTGGTCAGTTGCAACTCCTTACTGTTTAAGTCAACCTATCACACATCTAAAAAGATATGTGCAATTACTATCACCATCTTACATTTGCACAAAGTAAGACTTAGGGCAATTAAGTCTCTTGTTCAAATGTACCCTGCTTATAAATAACACCCAAAATCGGAACACAGGCCTGACCCTGTGAACAATGAGACAAATGCAATAGGATAGATAACCCTGAGAATCATCTACAATTTCCATTAAAAAAAAAGTGACACCAACAGAAAATTAACAAATTAGTTATCAAGTTAATATTTTGTTGTTTCTCCAGAGGGAAAAAGTTTGATCTTATAAAGTTGTAATAAATGAAACCAATTGAAAAAAAAGACTGAGAGAACAATGGAAGAAGTCACAAAGAAAGGGTATACAAACAAAAATGTTAAGTTTCTGTCCATAAAAAGTTATGAACAATATAAGTTTCTACTAACACGCTTATTTTTAGAAGCGAAGCTGTGACTGTTCTAAGAAACTGACTTTGGACAAATTAACTATGGTTCCCAACCTAAAATGGCAAATAGCCTCCATCTGCTAAAACTGTTGTAAAGATTGAATCAGATTTTCTATCACTGGTACAGCTCAAACTCTCCATAAAGTTATTTGCTACATGGGATGCAGCATAATGGCTCTTTGGAATTTGAAACCACTACCTCTGCCACATAACCCAATGTCACAAGGTAGTAAAAACAAACTCATCACATCTGGGACTGAATCAATCACTAGGCATTTCTTGCAAGGACAGTTTACTTGTAAGGCTCCTACTTTAGAAATTCAGAATCTCACCTCCTTACCGCCATGCTTTAGGAGTCTGGCTGCAAAAGCCATCTTGTCAATCATTCCAGGCCATTCCTTTCTGTTAGTTGTTTTCTCTTTGCTTAAAGTTCCTCCACTCAAAAAATTAACATTTAAAAAAAATTTCTATCTGCATTTCTATTTTCATAGCATCACTATTTTCTATTTCTAAGAAACGGAAAACAACCTAAGTATCCATTGACAGATGAATGGAATGGATATATATAAAATCTCCAGCAGTAAATATCCAGGAATACATTCTGAGAAATGTGTCATTTGGTGATATCATCCCTGTGCAAATGCAGCAGCCTGTACTTACACAAACCTAGATGGTATACTCTACTATACACCTAGGCAATACAGAAGGACCACCATTGAACATGCAGTCCATTGCTGACAGAAATGTCTTCATGCAGTGCATGACTGTATGCAATGGAATATTAATCAGCCATAAAAAAGAAGGAAATCCTGTCATTTGTGACAACGTGGGTGAGGGCATCATGCTAAGTACAAAAGGTCAAACAGAGAAAGACAGATACTGTGTGATCTCACTTGCGTGTGGAATCTGAAAAACAAAACAAAAAATTTAGGGGCCTCCCTGGTGGCCAAGGGATTAAGTCTCAGTACTATCACTGGTATGGCCTGAGCTCAATCCCCAGGCAGGGAGCTACTCCACATATGGCATAACAAACTTCTCCTGTCTGACCCACTGGTCTCAGCAGTGTATTTCATTGGATCTGCCTATTATGCTCCCCACTCTGTCTCTGGTAAATCTTCTCTCCCTTCACCACCCCCCCTTACCTCTTGCCTACACCCCAGTTCATGTATGCATAAATAATCTTTTTAAAAATCTCAGATAAAGAGAACAAAAAATGGGAAAAGGGAAGAAAATTATAAAAAGATGGACAAAGGGTACAAAAATCCCAGTTATAAGACAAAAAATTAGCAAAGATGTATCGTGTAAGCTGACTACTGTTATCACTGTTGTATGGTATATCTGAAAGCTAAGACAATAAATCCTAAACATTCTCCTCACTAGGAAAACCTATTTTTTTGTATCTATTATGAGATGATACACGTTAACTAAACTTATTGAGGTAATCATTTCACAATATGTCAAGTTATTATGTTGTATACCTTAACTTGTATGTCAATTATATCTCAAAATTGAAAAAAACAAATTTAACAATGTCCTTCAATCCTCCCAGACAAGCATTTAAAATTATTTCTTCAGTTTCAATGACTTTCTAGGGCATTTTTTGAAATTACATAAACAAGTTTTTAATGATTAATTATATAACTATGCATGAGCAAAGTAAAATATTGAACAGTAAAAAGGGTAGAAAAAAAGCTTCCACCTTCACCTGATAAATTATCACTCTTCCTCCTTAGAGATACCAATGTTAGATTTCTTATGAATTGTTCTAATGTGTACATACATTGTTAACACACACATAAACACTAATCTACTGTAGAATATGTGGATATGTGTGGATAGCTTGCTTTTCTCACATAAGCCCCTATCTTGGAACACTTTGAAGATTAACACATTCTTTTGTAAGTGCTGCACAGCATTCTGCCAAACATACAGGCCATAATTTAACAAATTGCCCATCTTCATATGCTAAGGTGTTTATGATTTTTTGTTACAAACAATGATACAACAAACATCCGATATATCTTAGTAGCAATAGTCTATAAAATAAATTCTTAGAAATTGCACTGCTATACTGTCAAATTCCCCAATATCAAAGCCCCAGAGGGTCTGACACTTTATGCCTGTCCCATCACCACTCCTTGGCCAGTATTTGATGGTCAGTTAATATTCAACAATTTCACTAATATTCAACAAATTCACTTCTGGGTCATTGTCTGTTCTTGAAACTCCTATTGGGAAGGTTACCAGTGCCCCTATCTCCAAGTCGAAGGACCTCATCTCATATCCTGGCCATATTTGACACCAACAATTACTACCACCTTCAGTAGATACTCCTTTCCCTGCCATGATGACTGCTGTGTTAGTCCAATCCACGCCACCACTTCCCAGGGGCTGCAAACCAATCTCCCTGGACTCTTAAAGATAAGCACACCCAATATACAATCCCTGGCTGCCTTTTCTTCTGACTGTAACACCCTTAAACTGTCACTGATGTGTAAAAGGTTTCCAAATGTCAATTCTCAAAGCACCTGAGACATAAACCCATGTTTCTGTCTGCAGAACATCAGCAAAGAGGTGAATGTTCTTTCCACACATCAGATCCACACATGGACAGTACTCATCCTGTGCTGGACATTGCATTTGTACTCAGCACTTACTGCTTCTATGTAACTACAATAGTGAAGAAAGAAAGCACTATATCATCCCCTTCCCCAAGCCTCTAAAGGGGGTAAAGCCTCCTTAAGCATCAAAATTCAATTATTGAGGGCCTCCCTGATAGCCTAGGGGTTAAGTCTCAGTGCTATCACCAGCAGAGGCTGAGTTCAATGCCCTGTCAGGGAGCTAGCCCACGTATGGTGCAGCGGACCTCCCCTGTTTCACCCGCTTTTCCCCTCAGCAGTGTGTTTCAGTGGATCTGCCTGTTCTGCTCCCCAGTCTGTCTCTGGTGAATCCTCTCACCCTCCCACACCTCTGGCTAACATCCCAGTTCTTCTATCCATAAATAATCTTTTTAAAAAAATCAATTATTAATAATTATGAATTGAAATTGAATGAAGAAAATCTGATTGAAAATGAAGCTGGGAAGCAATGATGGGAGAGACCTCAGGCACTTGCCACTTGTTGAAACTTACAAGAAGCCTCCTTGTCCAGTAACATGTAGTCAGTAAGACAAGTTGTAAATAAGAAACTGTCACAACCTCAAATTCTCAATAACCCTTTCAAAACAGCCCTTTCCAGTTTCCTCCTAAGGCCCAATAAAACCTAATCTATACTTTCCTTTCTCAGACTTGCCATGGTTTGCCATAGTTTGTCCCAGACTGCAATCCTGTTGCTATTTCTGAATAAATTCAATTTTACTAGCTAGAGACCCTGCTATTTTAAAATTAACACCATTATTCACCTTTATTCCCTTCCCATCCAATTAACTGCCAAATGCTGTTAATTCGACTAGTAAACTGTTTCGATGTATCTCTCCAGCCTTCCTACCTCCACCTCTGGCCTACATGGCTTATACCTTATCTCTTGCCCAATCCTGATACCACCAGAGTTTTCTGCTAAGAGCACAAATATCCCATCAATCTACCTCAACAAGGCCCATGGCTTTTGAACACGCTTCCTCTATACAACTCTACACATCTGGGCTCTAGGCCTATCCTGAGAAGCCATTGCATTGACAACACCTGTGCTCCCCACCCCAGCCAACCTAATGTTTTAGGAGTCCAGCCAGTAGGCTCCTCCAAGTCATTTTATCATATCTCATTCACGTTGTCCCCTAGAAACCGCCAGGCACAACATGTGCATTGTAGGTGCTTAATAAATGCTTTCTAAAGTTACAATTTTCTAGTGTGCTCATCATTATTCTAAAGAAGAAAAGAAACATCTAGGGCCTCCCTGGTGGCACAAGGTGTTAAGTCGCATCACTATGAAGCTATCCGCAGCCTCTGCAGCAGGAGTTCAATCCCTGTCCAGGGAGGTGACCCACATGATGCAGCAGACCTCTCCTGACTTGCCCACTGCTCCCCTCAACAGTGCATTTCAGTCAATCTGCCTGTTCTGTTACCTGCTCTGTCTCTGATGAATCTGCTCACCACCCCCCACACCTCTGGCCTGTACTCCAGTTCTTGTATGCATAAATAAATCTTTTTTTAAAAATAAAAGAAAGAAAAGAAACATCTATATACATGTGAATCCATAATAAAAATCTTTTTAAGTTATCTAAGTGACTTTGGGGTCTTTTAATGTTGTGTGACCAAGTACATGTAGGAACATTTGCTCAGGACTAACAAACTACTTCCCTAAAAAAAAAAAAAAAAAAAAAAAAAAAATTTAGAAATATCATGACAAATCACAAAATCACTGGTTTCCAGTAGTTACAAATAGAAAGATTTCCTACTTGTCAATGGAAAAACAGATTCCTATCAGATGTCCCAATCAGCTGTTACAAACACCAAACATACACTTCCACAAGTTGACAATAAGGTAAGTAGCTGACTGTGTGGTAAATCAAATGTCCACCAACTTGATTGAAAAGCCAATAAAAACAAATGGCTTTGTGTGAACTGAGCCTATCAACCCAGAGACACACCCCATTAAGGTCTATTTCACTCTTCCAAGTTAAACCATTTTAAAAGGTAACTCTTTGAAAGCATCTTTCCAGTCTGATTATAAAGAGATCATTGAAAAGGAAGCACAGATTACTTTTCAATTCTGAAAAGCATTACTTTTTAGAACTACATAACAAGATAAAACTCCAAACGTGTTTACACCTCTCCCCTTCTGTTAATATCAGATTTCAAACACCTGTACTTAAGTGTCCTGAAGCCGAAACTCTGTTAAAGTTTCCCATCCATTCTGTAATCTGAAGTTAACTGCTAAATTACTGACTAAAAGTTAGAGCTTACATTCAGGGGCCAGAAATCATGTCTTCGTAAGAGATTAAAAAGTAACACTGTAAACAGTTCGGGAACTTCTGAGTTGGCAAAGTTGAGAGGAGTTCGCCTGACAGCTCGCGCTGCCCCCATGACCACTCCCACATCCCCAGCTCCCTACCCCACCTTTCTTGGAGGTAATCCCTTCATGTTTATAAAGGGGGAACAAGCAAACCCCCACAGGTTAATGGGATAGGGAAGAGTTTAGAGGAATCTTCTCCCTGGCCTCCTGAATTGCTCACCCCCACCCCTTCCAGGCGGCGAGAAAGGGACGGCACAGCACGAAGTCCCCCGGGCGCCCAGCCTTCCAAGGGCGCCACAACTTGAGTCCGGGGTCCACAGACCGGCCCGTTAACACTTCAACCCCAACGGGCATTTGACAGGAGCTGCCAGGGAGGGAGACCCAGGCGGCCTCACTCACCTGCGATTCATGGGCCGGACCCTCACGGCCACCTTGACTGATGCCATTGCTCATCCCGGCCCGGCCGGCGCAGACTCCCGGCTGCCCAGCGCCCACAGGCCCCAGAGACTCCCGGGACTCGGACGCGGCCCCCGCCCACTTCCCTCGGCCTCCGCCCCTCGGCTCCGGCGGCCCCGGCGGCCCGCGGCGGCCCCACCTGCCAGGTCACTGAGCATGCCCAGAGCGGCTCCCGCCCGCGTGATCCGCGCGCCGGGCTTTGGCGGCGGCCGCCGGCGCCGAGGGGCGGGGCCGGGGCCTGGGCGCCGCCTCCTGCGAGCGCTGAGAGGAGGGAGCCCGCCGAGCTGCAGGCCGTGCCCTGTGGGTCGCTGTGGGCGCGCAGGGCAGGGTGATTTCGTGAAAGTTAGAACCCAACCTCTCCTGAAAAACTAGGGAGGAGGCGAGGAGCGCAGCAATTTAGAGCCAAAACAAGGCTCCCAATCCTGGAGGGTCAGCTGAACAGAAACAGTTTTCATCCATTTCACTGAGCAAAACACTGAGGCACAAAGATTATCAGAACTTGTTAGTGGGGGGCTCTGCTCTTTTCTGCTACTCTGAGGCTAGGTGAGGGCCAAGCCGACCTCTCAGTTCAGGAGTACCGAGAAATGAAAACTGAAAGGGTGCTGGTTGTTTTCAATACAGGTGAAAATGTGCCTATGTTGGTTGAAATCAGATCTTAAATGGACTTTTTTTAATACTTATGTTGGTTTTATTTTAATTATAAGGGAGTTAGCGATGGGGACCCTCTTTAAGGCTTAGGGCCTTTGACAGAAGTGAGTGCCTACCTAATAGTGCTCACCCCAGACCCATGACCCCACCCATTGGACCCCAAGTCCTCTGCAGCTGACAGGTGGGGACCACTGGCAGGCCCAGAAAATACCATGCCCACAGGGCCCACGGCCCCCCACATCTCTAATGGGGCCACAAAGGGATGCTCTACCCTCACCCGCTCCTGCACTCCAGTATTTCACACCTTCAGGGCATCAGCGACTAACTGGCCAGGTAGGGTGCTGGCCCAGGTAGGAGGGACTGCTCCTCCTGGAAGCAGAGATATAATCGAGGCCTCAAGAAGTGGAGGCTGGGCTCTTGAGTTGAGGCCTAGCTCCAATACTAACTTGGGAAATTCTCCAGCTGCATTATTGAGTGTCTCAGAGGCTTCTGCCTTATTTGCAAGTCATAAACTTCATGGAACTGGCTAATGCATTAACTGAGATAATGTCTGCAAACTTATGACCCATGCGAACATGGGCTGATTATTCCTTCACCTTCCCTAGAGCACGACAATGAGCCTGGAGCCAGTTTTCCTTTTGCTTCCAAGGTCTAAGAAACTCAGGGATTCCTCCCTGGCTAGCGCAGAGCTGGGTGCGGATTTGACAACCGGCTGCGCGAAAACCAGGAGTGATTTTTTTAGGGAGCGGGCGGGGCATGCGCGATAAAGGACAGCTCCTTTGAGGTGCCGCGTGGGAGCCAGCGCAGCGCCTCTCCGCCCAGGGCAGAGGCGGGGCCCGCCTTAGAAGGGAGCTGCGCGGGGACAAACTAAAGCGGTCGCTCGGAGGTGGTGGGATTTCAATCTTCTACTAAGCCTAAAGCCACCAGTTCCTTGGCCCACCCTGCTAGAATCCGGGACCCCAGCGGAGCGCACCCACTGAACACCCTCAAGACCCACATCCGGCAAAGCCAGCCCCGATTCTTAAAAACAGGTTAAAAATACTTTGTAGGAGTTGTAGTTGTCATTCCAACTAGGTTCTGTGCCTGGGGTTTTATTGGTTGGTGGTTTAGCAGGTTTCTTTCGTTCATTAGTTTATTTCCAACAGCCCACACATGCCTATAAACACTTGTCCTTCTGTGACATCCACATCTGACACACAAGAGACACATATCACCCCAAATAGCGCACGAGGAACTTTTGAACAGGAAACAATGAAGTTTGAACTGACCCAGGAACTGAACATAATAGACCTCACCCCAGAGAATGACCTCACCCCAGAGAATGTAGCCAGAGAATGTTTTCTAATGGAAAGTGAAAGAAGTTTCTCTGGGAAGATTGTTAAGAGGTTGGCTCATCTTCTCAAACTTCAAGAAGGGAGAGTTTAATGTTTTGCAAATTTCAGTGCCTATAGGAATCAGTTGGGAATCTCCTAAAATTGCAGACTTGATTCTGCAGGAATGGGGTGAAACCTTAGATGCTGCATTTCCAATAAGCTCCAGGAAATGTGGATACACCTCCCCACCCCCACCCCCACCTCACAGTTTGGGGAAAGAGCAATTAATCTCTAACACGGAAATATTGATTGTGAAAATCTCAACCATAGGTCTCAATCAGGAGTCCAGTCTGGATAGAATTCAGGGGTTCATATGTATCAATCAGTTATGTGGCCCTGCCTACCAGCCAAAAACCCAGTGCCTTTAAACAAAGTTTAGTATTTCTCACCATTCTGTGGGTTTCTGGTCTCACCTGGGCTAGCAATGGGGCTAAGGACTGAGGCTGGACTGGGTGGGATGTTTGGGAAGCCAATGATTTTTCCTCATTTTCATCCTTAAAAAATGAGAATGTTTCTTTCTGTAACCAGGCAGTTTTCTGGGAGGGCTCCCCAAGACTCTTGCAGTCCCATTTGGGATGTTCCTTTGGTGGAAGGCAGCAAGACAGATTCAGTATGAGAGGTGTCACTCAACAGGAGGATACTCATGGAGCTGCTGAAGTAAAAAATCTACCGTAAGGTCCATGAATTTGAATGAAAAAAAAAAATCAGTAATAGCCTCTAAGTGTATTTATTTTAATATTACCAGTGATTTTGACACCTCTAGAAATCAGTTATTTTTCTGTTAGAATTAAAGTGTTGCAGTTTCTTAAATTGTTAAAAATTGTTACTACTTTGAAATTATAGTAGACATTAGACTGTCACTAGATCTTATTTAATATAAGCACATATGTTACTCTATCACAATTCATTTTTTTAGTATCTTGATATTGTTTTCTGTTATCATTGATTTTCCTTTTACTCCTATGTACTTCATTTTATGTGTTTTAAATGTTTTTCTGAAAAAGTTTCACAGACAAGAGAACCATGGTACAAACAATTTTAAGAACCCATGATTAGAAAATCATTTGGATAAGTGAAGGACATTTCTATTTTCAAAAAAGACTGACTGGGTCCTCCCTGGTGGCGCAGTGAGTTCAGCTCAGCACTGTGAGGCAAGGGTTTGATTCCCGTCTGGCCAGGGAGAGTCCTACATGGCACAGCAGACCTCTCCTATGGTGCCCACTTCTCCCCTCAGCAGTGCTTTCGGTCTGTCATTTGCAAATTTCAGTGCCTGTAGGAATCAGCTGGGAATCTCCTAAAACTGCAGACTTGATTCTGCAGAAATGGGGTGAAATCTTAGATGCTGCATTTCCAATAAGCTCCAGGAAATGTGGATACACCTCCCCACCCTCACCCCTACCTCACAGTTTGGGGAAAGAACAATTAATCTCTAACACGGAAATATTGATTGTGAAAATCTCAACCATAGGTCTCAATTTTGCCTGTTTTGCTCCCCATTCTGTCTCTGGTGAGTCGTCTCACTCTCCCGCGCTTCTGGCCTGTACCCCAGTTATTGTATAAATAAATTAAAAAAAAGAAAAACTGACTGATGATGGAATGGAAAAAGGAAGATTCTGAGGTCTAGGTTAAAGCCCAAATGGTATTAAAGGAGAATAGAGTGTTAATCCTATCACCAGTAAAGTATGTGTGTGCATTGTACCTGTGTGGATGTGCATGTGTGTTGGTTTTCTTTTGTTTATTTGATGTATTATTTTGGTCTTCATTCATTATTGAATTCTTTACCCCTGGTGTTTAGAAATCTTATTATTATCAAATAGCTGTAAGTTAAACAACCTGAGTCCTTAGGTTTTTCATTACAACATAATATAGTACCAGAATAGAATGTTCACTCCACCTCAAAATATCTGCATCATCTTGCAATACCATTATAAAAAAAAAAACAACTATATTCCTATCAGCAATGTATATAGCTATGTACTTTTTCCCCCAGCCTCTAAGGAATAAAATTGATTTACTCTCATAAACATGCCTTTTTAAAAAACCTTGATAAACAGCAGGCTGGCACATTTAAATTGGAACATAGGATACAAATGACATCTCAGAAACTCATCTGTCTTTCTCTGTGCTAGAAGTACTGACCTCAAGCATTGTATCATACAGTACACTTAATATCTCCTTGAAAGAAGTGCCTTACATCTTGGGACCTAAGTTGAATTTAGTAGTTATGCAGTAAGCCAACAAACCACATTGTGTTCTCATGGTTTTCAAACAAATGTGTAAATAGCAGTATCAGAGATAAAAATCACAGATCTCAAATTCAAACCTACTTCCATCTTCATTTTCTAAACCACAAAATGTAAAGGTAAATTTAGGATCGTCTAAAATACTAAACAACAAAAGCAAAGATAATTTGAAAAAGTTTATTTTGGGGGCCTGGGAGTAAAATCTCAGCTCCAAGTGATATGGTAAAGATAATCACAAAGATCATATGAAGTAATTTTGCTACAAAACTCTAGGCAGATAGTCACCAATGCCAACTTTCTTCTATAGCAGAAGTGAATGAAGAAACCACAAAAGATTCAGTTTAACAGAAACCTTCACCCTAAATCATAGTCATTTTATATACTAAGATGAAAAAGATTGTTTTCAATTGCATATAACTATACCTATGATGACAAATAGTTCAGTACTAATGGGCTTTGTAGAGTCTGTGGCAGCATTTCAACTTCTTCAGAGTGAGAAACCACATTTAGTGGAAAAATGACTCCTGGATAAATTAGTTTTGCAGATGGACCTTACCTCAGGATGGAATTTAACCCCCAAGATGGATGAGGAGCTGACTTCTGAAGCAGAGGAAATATCTTTTCTTTTTTTTTTTTAATGAACTCGCTCATACTAACCCCCACATCTCCAAACCAAGATGTACTTTAAGATTTATTTATTTATTTATTTATTTATTTATTTATTTATTTATTTATACAAGCACTGGGTACAGTCAGAAGCACGGGAGGGTGAGAGAATTCACCAGAGCCAGAGCCGGGAGCAGAGCAGGCAGAAGG